GTAGGGAAATAAACTGGGTCTGGGTTGTAAGCTCAGAAACAGCTTTTTTTTTTTTTTTCCCCCTTCACCCCCCTTTTTTCTTTTGGTGCACCGCCTCTCAAACAGATGATAAAGGTAATTACAAAACCTTTTACTCAGATACTCACTGGTCTGAGCACTCGCAGTGCTTCCTTCAGGATGCCGTTCACGTTGTGCGCAGAGCAGAGGACCAAGGTGCAGATGACGGCATCCACAGAACCGCTGGGCACCTGGTTCAGGTCTTCTCCTGCAGCTACTATGAAACGCTCGTAGTGGATGTGCTGGTTCTTGTTCATGCTTCTCGAAAGGGCTTGCTGGAAGTTGGGGTTTATGTCACTGCACGTCACTTTGCAGCCCGGTGGGTAGAACTGGAAGTTAGCTCCGCAGCCGGTCCCGATCTCCAGCAGCTTCAGCTCTCCCGAGGGGCTCTTGAAGTCAGATAGATTACAAAATAGCTCCTGCTTGTGCTTCTTTGTTTTCCTTTCATGAACAGCAGAAAACTTCTCTAAGAAGTAAGGAAAAAATACCTTCTTACAGAAAGGCTGCCATATGCCCAGGAAGGACAGCAGGTAGATGGGCATGGCCAACAGTGCCAGGCAGGCACGGAGGAGGAGGATGCTGGCCTCCCTCATTTCCAGCGTGGGGCAGAGGATCTGCACTGAGCAAAACTAGTTCTTCTGTGTGTAAGAGCCCTGGAAATTCAGGCAGAGCTGTGTTCGTGGACTTGCTGCTCCTCTTGAAGTGTATTCAGCTCCTTGGATTGCTCTGGTAGAGTTTTCTCTAAAGCTGATTTTAAAGTCCGGTCATAGGCAAGGAAGGGAAAAACAGGGCTGCATACCAAAGAGTTCCTGTAGCGTCCCAACTCTGGCAAAGAGGAGCTGCCAGTCTGTTACGTAACCTGGATAAACGGGGCGGTGCAACTTTGGCCGCAAACACTGGCAAAATGTCACGAGCTGCCCTAATTTGGTGTTCAGCAGTTTCACGTTGCAGGTCGTATCTCCTAAAGCAACTGTTTGTTGTCTTCAGCGAGATGAAGGTGAACTCTGAATTAGCTGTAGGCATTTTGTTAGGAGTTTGATTAACATTTCAGTGAAAACACATTGGTTTAAGAGTTAATTTACCACCCCGTTGTAAGCAGCTGGATGAGCTCGTCAGCTGCTCGCTCTGTGTTCTCTCTGCAACAGCAGTTTCCAGTCTTCCCCCTTTGTGGACACCTAAAGTGCTTTGGTCAGTGCATATGGGCTCCTTTGCAATGGATTAATTTGCTTTTCTTTGTTATCTTTCAGACCTTTGATGGGAATTGTGAAGCAGAGATAATTAATTCAGTAATCGCTGCCTACAGTGTATGGCTTGAGTTTATTAACTTCCTAAGTCTGTTCTATGCCAAATACATTCTGTAAAACTTTTTCAACTTTGCAGTTGCCGGTGTTTTGTCAAAGGGGTTGGTAGCAGCGTCGATTAGCCACCAGCATTTAATTGCTCTGCT